TAAAGACAGTTACAAGGTCAGCATTTCCAGGATTAAAGGACTAATGTCTCACCAGGAAGATAAAGCACTTCCACTGGCTCCTTGTAGCTCAGAGAGTAAAATAAAACTCTAAAATACTGTCATTGAGTTCCTTTAAATCAAGGCTAAAAACTGCTTTTCATTCATAACTGGAAAACTGATCAACATATCTGATTTGTATTGATCGTTTTGTTGTTGGCACTCGACAAAATGCAATGTTTGTTACAGATTTCACAATTATGACTGCATGGTGCTTTTATGATGTTTTAATAATTTTATGATATAAAGCATTTTGAACTGCCTTGTGTTGCTGAAATGTACTACACAAATAAACTTTGATTTTTTGATTGATTATAGAATGGGTTACGATGCTGGTGGAAGAAACAGTCATGAACACAAAGAATCACGTTAGGAAGCATTCAGGAACCGTGGCCATCCCAATAAGCGTGAGCAGCCCAGAAACCAGATGGGCACCATGAAAACAGCGACAGGAAGCAAGAGATCAGACTCCACCTCCTGTGGCTTGCTTTGATTCTCTCCCCCTACCCCACTCCATCCCAAGAATCTTCGTGTGGACGGCAGCGCCTCTTCCACCATTAGAGTGTGGGTGGGGTTATAACAGGGCATGGGGTTGTTGAAATGAACCACTGGGGCTTTTCCAATTACAGACTGACTGATACCAGATGACAAACACTGCAGCATCTCACATTAGCATCCACCGCAGCCATGGCGTCAGCCTTTCAGGGGCCTATGGCAGGACACTGCACTCCATGTGGATGCACTTCCATCCAGTTAGCGGAGCAGCCAGCTTTCAAACACGTTGGTGGGATAAAGGAGATAAAGGCTTGAGTACAACTAAAGCCAAAGCAGTCAAGTGAAAGGAGATGTAATAATGCTAGATGCTAGTGTAAACACTTTAACAGGCACTGTATGTGTGCTATGCGCTTGTGAAAATGTGTTAGTTAAAGACATAGATAGCGAGTAATTTGGCTAACAGAACAAAAGACTTCTAATTTACACAAAGCTGTGATGAGCTAAACAATTCCTCTGGAAGATTTCCACTTCTTTTCTTTCAAACCACAGAAAAACTGCACTTTTACACCGCTTCGTCCACATTCCCTGGCTTCAACTAATTTCTCTATGTTTCGTTCTGACTTTTTATTGTTTCACCCAAGTCTGCGGGAATGACACTTCGCACTTCTGTACATAATTTATGTGCGAGAAAGACAATAAAGCCAGGCTTAGTTGAGCGGAGTTAAAAGCGGCGTATGGTTTTACGGCACATCTGTCACGAGGGTGGTGGAAACGCCTCACATCGCACCAGCAGCTGTTCCGAGAGCTCAGCTCTAAGTTCGTTTATGGCCGTTCCTTTCTCTGCACAATCTGTCGCTCTGCAATTTCAATTTTCTCAGATGCACAGTAACACACAAAGGCGGATAGCGCAGCGATACCCAAAGGCCTTTGAAGTTTCGGCCTGAATGTTTCAGAGAGCACAATCGGTGAGCACTTTGCTCGCCCTATACACCCGTTCAATGCACAAGTTGGGCAATATGTCAGATGTACATAGAGTGTTTAAGGGAAAGGATTGTAGACAACATGCTTTCAGTCTAATTTGAATAATTTTTACACTAATACTAGATCAACATACATAATGATTTAGAGTGTTTTCACACCCGATAGTCGGGAAGGCTCAGTTCAGCTGGGGGCCAAAATTGCAACATTTGTTACATTTTCAGTTCTGCGGTTCTATTTCACACAGCGCTGTCAAAAGAAACCAAACTTTTTTGAAAATCCTTTTGTGTTTGAGTCACAGCCTCAAGTAGCAATCTAACTTCTTCTAATTGAGAACCTATTGCCTCATATGTAGAGCGGCTGACTCTTATTCCAGTTGCGCACACTCATGACCACGTCAATGTTTTAAATCAGGGCCATGACTTTAACATACGAAAGTCGTGAGCTGGAACCTTTCTGTGTATTTCAGGTATGCCTGTAAATCTGACGCACAAGCTACATCCGCAAACAATAGCGATGGATGACAAAAGCACTAAAAACAATAAATATCTTTATTGTTGAGCTCATATGTTTAGTTATTCATAATTTAGGCCTCAGTCACACTGGACGTTTACTTCAACTTTGAGCATTACTGAAGTTTATACCACAATCAAGCAACTATGTTACCATCAGTTGTTATCGTAATGCTATATTTATCAGATATGACATTTTTCACAGCAGGGGTTCAGCTGTACAATCAAATGCCTTCACACTGAGGATCCATTTGTGTTGCTGCTTTTATATCGGCCTTCCCCCCCCCACCCCCAAGGTGTTCTGCACATGCAATTAATTAAAAACCGCCTCGTAATACAATTACACGGCTTTCATAACATAGACATCAGTAACCAACTAACGACAACTTTAAATGAAATAAAACGATGAATGAAATCTCATTTTGTTCTGTAATTCCATTTGTTAGTTTGACCTAACTCGATCCCTACGGAAATAAAACAATTTGTAACGAGATCTACTTTTAAAAACTGACAGTCCTGTAAATCTGTCAAAAGGATCGTGAGCCGTTCCATTCCCTCTGCTCATGCTTCATATTCTCTATCTGTATGGAAAATGGCCGTAGCTGCCAGGCAAGTCAAATAGATTTGATTTCACTCATATCTAGTATCAGCCCGTTTTTCTTTCTCCTGCCCTGGCCGTAACAGAATATGTCTTGTTCCCCGCTGGCCTCTGGAGAAATCTTCTGCCTAGCAGGGTTGGAGATGGATGCAGAGAATTCTCTTCCGGCTGTGGCGGGGCCAGGGCTCATCAGCCATGTGTTGTCAGAAGAAAGAGAGACGGAGGGATGGAGGGATGGGGTGAGCAAAGTAGGGAAGTGGAGAATCAATAATCCAGCCATGTGTATCCCCTTTCTCTGGTATGAACTGAGATGGCTTTCTAATGGAGGAATGGTCCAGAGTACCCAAATCACAAAACAGTTTAGAAAAACAACAGAATGATATTGAGAGAAAGAGGTTTTACACACATTTTGGGAAAGCAGAAAATCGAATCACCACATCACGTAGCCGCTGCAAGTTTTATTGAATTTCTGCTGCAAAAAAATTCCCAAACTTGATATTGCTGGAAGAATATACTGACAACTATATGTTGGGGCACAAACATACACTGAAACCAATACAGCAGAGAGGGTGATTGGGTGTTCATTTAGAACACTTCACAGTCATTTTATTATTCCATAAATATTTCTGTTTAGATACATATACAGCTTTCCATAATTAATATGCTGAATTTTATTTAACCAGGTATTTTTCAATTTGTATGAAGAACAAAGAGTTGGTTATCATGCAACGCAGTGAATATGTTCTTCTTGTAACACTAAAAAGACAGAACTTCATACACTTATAGACAAAACTGAGTCATATCTATATGTATTCAAAGCTGCCATCAGTTTGTGTGATCAGCACTATAATGCTTGACAACAACCCAACCTGTCGGCTGTACATCCTAGAAAGGCTCTGTTACCACCATCATTAACAGAGAATACATTAGTCAAATAGGACATTTAACCTCTGCACACTGAGTCAGCACGCCCCAATCGATTCCTTCAGCTTGACAAACAATGGACAACAAGCTCCGTGAGCTCAGTACCAAACCTCTCCCACAAGGTCAATACAAGAACCACTCTGCCCTGATAAGAAACTAATGGGAGATAAAATGAGGGCAGAGGGTGTGAAAAGTTGACAATACGGTACCTTCAAGTGAACATGTATAGAGATGACCTCATTTCCTCAGATAGATCAATGTTCAATCTTGGTTCAAAGTGTTTGAAGAAGTTATTTTTGCAGAAAGATGAAAAACCAAGTTAGCTAAAATCTCAACTTGTCTCTCGTATCGTCTTCTCTCATGAGCTGGATGTACCACCACATCTCCACAGCAGCAGTTCAATGCTAATTACACAAATTACTAACATAAAGCTAGAGGAGGCTTAAAAAGTGAACTCCATCAATTAATATTTCATTTTAAAAATCACATTAAACTTCCAACTTACTGCAGCTCCTCTCATATACGTGGTTTACCCTCCATTGTGTCTGCTCCTACTTAAAATACGAGACAGAAAAAGTTTTGACTTTTACATCATGCTATATTGTTCCCTCATCAAAAACATTTCTGGGATGTTACTTGGATTTTTTTCATGCATGTCTGAGAAATCCTTGAATCTCCCATGGCAACCATTCGGGAGTTACTTAAATGCTTGCTCTCACAAAGCTCCGCATTTCCACAAAGCTCCTTGTAACTGCTGTCACCACTTGAGTTTCCGCCTTCCCCACTCAGCTCCACTAGACTAGTGGCAGCAGCAATTAGCAAACACCTGGTGGAACTGCGAATGTGCTGAGCTCATCACAGTAACTACTTCTCAGCCCAATGCTCTTTAGAACTATCAGAAAGAATAGGAGTTTCATAAAGAGACTCCGGCCCAAATTCAAGGTGTCAAATTTCTTTCAAAGTCAAAGTTCTTTTGAGTCATGTTTGATACTACATTTTTAAAACAACTAAAGGTAATCTAATTTCTTGATTGTACTATAAAATGGCACCCTGGCTGGAAAATATATACCATACATTTTTTATAATAGTCGCCAAAGAGAATTTGAAAAATGCTAAAATTCAAAGACCAAAGTGTAATGCTCTTGTTAAATGTGCAGGTCTGACTGCAAGGTTCAGTGTTAACCACTTTGTAGAATCAGAAGTAGGTACAGCATGGAGTCATGATTGGGGTGGGTAATTGATGCAACTGATGCAAAGAGGTTTGTTTATATTGCTATTTATTGCAGTGGAAATAATGATAATAATAATGACAATAATAATAACAGCAACAACTAAACAAAAATAAATTGCTCAAAAGAAACAAGTGGGGGGGGGAAGACAAACAAACCAACAAAGACATAATAATAATAATAATAATAATATTGATAATAAGTGATACTTCAAAACCTAATGGAGTTCAAAAGAAGTCCAAGAACAATGGGAGAATAGTTCTTTTCCTTGTAATACTCCTTTAGAGTTTAGTTTGTTTCCTGTGTGGAGAGTGTCTTTCGTTTTCCTACCACCAGGTGGTGTGTGGGTAGCTCGCCATCCTCCGTCATCAAGCAAGTCGATGAAGGGGGAGAAAAAAAAACCTGACCTAAAAGGCCAGAAAACATACATTAAGTTCATATATAAATGTTATATTTATATAAGCAAAATGGGGGGAAAAAGGAAAACAATTAAATACATACTTGCTATGTATTAACTTCATAAAAATGGGAAAGAAAATTTTAAAAAAGTCCTTTTAAAAAGTGCACTTCATAATTCAAGTTCAAAATTGCTCAAATAAAGTAATTAGCAGTCGCTAAAAACAACAACTAATAATAAATCAAATCAATCAACTTAAGAATGTGATTGATCAAAGTAGCTACAAACAAAATCATATTGGGTACCAGACTTCATTGCTGCACCAGCATGGAATACAACAACAAACAAAGAAATCATGAAAAATAATCAAATCTAAAGTTGAAGGGGAAGCCTTTAAATGTTAAAGGTGTGACTTTTCATTGAGTAAGTAATTAGTAAGTGGACTGAGCTGATGTGGGCAACTGATTGTCGAGTTGGTAGCAAATGCTAACTGGTGGAGCGTTGCGGAAATAACGCCCTACTATATATAAATGATATTTACTCACCGTCGAGTAACGGATCGTCTGAGGAGGTGGATGCAATGTTAACTGGTTCTCATCAGGAAGGTATACCAGGCGTCAACAAATCCCAACCTGGTGAATATTGCAGCGGATATATTAGCGGTGCTATTATTGCAGATACAACGTCAAGTCAGATGGTATTTAACAACTCACCGCAGATCCTCAAGTTTTGGGGATTAAATTGTTCAGTGATGAGTCGATTTGGAAATTTCAGATTGTTTTATGAACAACCGACACCACAACCAACAGTGAGCAGCAGCATAGTGGAAACCCGGAAATACACCTGAGGGTCCCAGAGCTTAAAGGGAAGGTGGGTGGGTCATGGCGGTCACGTGGGTTACAAAAGCTTTACAAAACCAGAAACTGGAAGTCATCCAGCTAACTCCTATCGCTCCATCTCGAGTCAAAGACTTCCAGAATGTGGGAGCCAAAAATCTTCATCCTGAACACTGGCAACAAAGACGTGTCAATGTTATTCAGGCTTCATATATGAGGGAGCCATGTTTGAAGAAAGGACAGCTGTCATAGCAGGGAACCTGCATAAGGACCATGATGACAGAGTGATGCTCGGAGAGAAGGGGGCTATGGAGCCGAGAGGCACTCAGCAGTTGTAGACCAGGAGAGCCAGGATATTGTTAGTCAACACATCTGACCCCCACAGGGCTCATAGAAAACACTCTGGCTCTCATTTCACCCTTCACCATCATTCCACGTGGAACCACAGAATAACAAGCATACCAGCCTCTAAAAAAAAAAAAAAAAACTAATATTCACTCATGTGCTTTTGCACTCTGAATAGCTTGGATGTACCTATCAGTAATGTTGACATAATTCTGACTATTGATGGCAAAAGCCAAAAAGAGTCAAATGTAGGGTAAAAATATATCTATGGAGATGAATTGATCAGATATTAATACAGGTATCAATTCCGATACTAAAATAATTTTTTTGTTTGTGTATTGGTGACAATGTGCCCAATCCATAAAGGCAGCTCTATTAATTCTAATTCCATTTTGTGGTCCGAGTGACAACTTATTGTTTTCGTCAGTTTCAGTTTATTTATTTTGCATTAGCTGTTCTTCTCCCAATTGCACTAACTGCTTTAAATTAAAGTGGTGTTGTTTGTACATGTTTGACCAAGCTTATGAAGCTATTGGTGTATTTAAGTGTGCTGTTCTGGTGCAGAGTTATCCACATATTTTCTTACACCCTTCTCCCTAGTGGAGACGGGACAGGGTGACTATCTCTAGCGAGAATTTAAAGAGATAAATCAACTTAACAGTCATGTTTTTGGACTGTGGAAGAAAGCCAAAGTACCTAGAGAGGACCCACGCATGCACAGGGAGAACATGCAAACTCCATGCAGAAAGACCTCAGACTGGGAATCAAACCCAGGACCTTCTTTCTGCAAGGCAACAGTGCTACCTACTGCGCCACTGTGCAGCGTTATCAAATAAGTTATTTAGTACATTTATATTTGTTCTTTTTTTTTTAAACTAAACGTTTTCAGTCAGTTCAGCACCGTTTTTCTGTATCGATCGTATCGGATAAAACAACAAAATCAGATATTGCTATCGGAATCAGAAGTGGAAAAAGTGCATCCAGAATAAAAACTTGTTTTTATTCCAAATAACAATTCTGAAATGATTTGTGTATTTACTGTGATTATATGAAGGGAAATAGTTATAAGAAAAATATTATTTTTTAAACCACCCAAAGAGAGAGAGACTCACTGTAGGACTGAGGAAAGGCTGAGCTGTTCAACATGCGCATGCTGCGGACATCTTGCTGACATTTTCCTGGAACAAAATATGTTTCCGATTTCTTCAGTGCTATTTGAAGCCACCGATGTGTTAGCTGGCCATTCTAACCTAAAGACTATAAATATGGGAAATGCTGAACAAGCCAAGACATTAAAATTAAATCTTGACAGTAGCAGAAAAAACACACACTTGCGTGTACCATGCTGGTTTAGAGAAACGCGGATTTACTTGTTTGTTTCTTTTTTTTCTTAAAGGGAAGGGAGGAAAAAAGCGAAAATAAAGCAAAATTTCATCTGTCATGTAGCCGTCTTCCGAAATGCAACGCCAAGAGCTTTGAGGAGGAGAAGAAAGCCAAAAAATGTCCCCCCCAGGTACAATGGTTGCCTTTGTCAAACTGCAGGCTCATACATAGCAAACAAAATGGTAAATGTTTGAGCAATGAAACCCAATCCATGCTCGCTGTGCGAAAGCGTCGTCTGACCCGCTCAGAAGCTTGGCAGACTCAGTGAGTCGCCGGGGAGAAACAGGGGAATGAAAGCGATCTGAGAAGCATTTTTACAAGTTAAGCAAATAGTAAATTTATTTCAGCATTGTCCAGGCTTTTACCCACTTCTCAATCGGCCTGAGGCTTTCCTTTTACAGAGCTTTGCAAAGGTTTTCATACCCCTCAAACACCATTTGTGAGCTAACTACCTCAGCTAACTTATAGGAATCTCATTTTAGATTGTAACATTGTTTCCACACCCGTCTTCCATTGACACCATCCCTCCTTAAATTTACTTTTTATTTTATTTTGCTAGAGCGCCAATTTACAACTCTGTCCAGCGTGGCTCTCCCTACATGATGCTGTCCCCACCATATGTCACAGTGAGGTTGGTGTGTTCAGGATCATGTGAAGTGTTGGGTTTTCGTCTCACAAAGGATTTTGTGTGTAGGCTAAAAAGTTCAAATCTGACCAGACCACCTTCTTCCGAACATTTTCTGTGTCCCCCAATTGGTGCTAAAACTGCACATTTTTAGCACCGTGTTTCTATGAACATGGCTGTCTTCTCTTGAGTTGCAACAGAGCTGCTAGTTCAGGTGGATGGCCATGTTCTCAAATATTTTCACTTATTTCCTTTTCTTTCATTTTCAGATGATGAACTGAACTGCGCTCTGCGAGATGTTCGAAGACAGAGACCCAGTTGCTAATGGCAACAGTTTGCATTGAGTTTTAGGATTTTTATTGACATGATTTAAACATGTATTATTTTGCTCTTAATTTCAATAAAATGTGTTGTTCTATTACATGAGAAAAAACATTTAAATTTGTCGTGATGAAATCAAACATGATCAAATTCAATATGTTTGAGTAGCATTGTCAATTTTTATTTTATTACAACAACAAAACTTATTACCATATTTTCTGGACTATCCGATGCATCAGTCAAAAAATGGATTATGAAGAGAAAAATCATACAAATCACATTTATTTAGAAATTGTCAAACATGGGGGGGGGGGTCTTATGGTCGTTGACAAAAGGTTCTGGTGACATTTTGTGTTCAGTTACCTGCTTTTTAACAAAAAAAAAGTAGGTAACTGTGAACTGTGGCTCAGAAGTCTACTGGCAGCTCTGACGCATTGATGTCAGTGCTCTAAATCAGGTTGCTCAGGAACAACTCCACTTTGTCAGCATTCTGACAATTTGTGCTTCCTCAACAGGTGTTCCTAACAAAACAGGTGTTTGACTGTCTGAGCTACCTAGTGGCAATTTGCACCGGTGAAGTGCGCAGCGTAGCATAGACGCATCCAGTGGGTGACAGAGGGGCGATACGTTCATAGAAGCGGTAACACCAATAAGGCCGAAAGGTCCAAAGTTGATCATATTCATCTCCTTGGCCTGAAGATGTAACTGCACCATTCACAAGTCTCACAGTAAAGCGCTTTCTTTAAGCACCCAACTGTGGAGTCGTTCCTCCAGCTCTGATTCTCTTCCTTTCAGCCCATGATTAGCTTTCCTCCCAACTGCAGACAGTAATGTTTAATCCTTGGTCTATGTCCATCAGTATGAATTAACATTTTATGCATCAGTCAAAAAAAAAAAAAAAAAAAAAAAATTCTCTTCATTTACATGAAGAGAAACTGGACTATAAGTTGCAGGACCATCCAAACTATGAAAAAGCTCAACTTATAGTCTTACAGTAGTATTTTCTTTTTTTTGTCTAATCTTTGTTTGACTTTTTTGGCTAAGCATATGTGCTCCATTTGGATTCATTCCTCGGAGTCAGAACTGCCAACACATAACAGAACAATTGAATAAGTCCCTCGGCGGACTCACTGCAGGACCCAATAAAAGAAAAGAGCTGAAATGATGGAGGCTTTTAACAAGACATGCAGGGTAACTACTTTATTTGTCTGCAAATCTGTTTAAAGGTCTCCTGGATGTGGTTTAACGCCAGCCAATGCAAAAATGTACTTTGAAGCCTCCACGACGAAAGCCAGACAATTCCACCAACCCCGAGGGGCCACCAATTGGTACCAGTCTCTGTCGTGCGTGTCTGCACTTGATGCTGAGTCCATATTTAATCGCTGAGAATATCCAGGTTTTACAAAATATTACATTGGGAAACAAATTATATGTGACATAAAAGTCTGAAGACATTGAGCAGAACTGTAAAGCTGAAGAAAGTATAAACCAGAAAAAAAAAGAAAATAAAATAAGTCACTGGAATGCCACAGTGATTCTTTAGTGGATTTCTTTTAGCATGCTGAGGGAGACCAGTCATGCCTCCTATTGTCAGGCCCATAATGATGTTGACCGGCTAAAGCGAACAACTGCTATTACTGAAACACCCATGGGCTGTAAGCATACAACAATTACAGAGCAGACATTTAAAGTAGCCCTACTTTGTTTACCCATTCCCATTCTATAGAGTGGCTCCAGAAATAGATACAGCCAAATGGCAATACGTAAACCTAAGACTGACCTGTGTCCCCACGCAGCATCTGCTAGAGAGTAAATCTGCCCACAGCCTGCAGCTGTCAACAGGAAGCCCAGAATGACCTCCACAGACATACACACATGCCCAAAGAGTCAAACACACATACGCACACACGCACACACACACACACGCACACACACCAGTCTTTCATCTGGCTATGATTGGCCAACAGCTATCTGTTCCACTCTCCTTCACAAAAAGCAATTTTTCTTTATTTAAAAGCAGTTCTAATTTAGGGAACTACATTAGTGATTTAATTTAGCTTAATGAAGCCAGACTGTTAAGAAAAATTTACATTTTAAACTTCATATGATAGCATTCCTCACCAAAACATACGTGGAGTGTTGCTTTGATTCTTTCATATATGTTTGAAAATCCTCCAGTCTGCCATGGCAGCCATTTGAGGGTGCCTAAATGCTTTTTCTCACAAAGCTCCACCTATTTCCACATAGCTCCACCTTAGGACAAACTACTTCTCAGTCCAACTCTCCTAAGAACAGTTGTAAACAGCATAATGAGAAGTAATGTTGATAACGTGATGAAGGCGGAGTGTCACCAAGAGTGGTAGCTTCTTAAAGAGACAGAGGCCATTTAAAAAATGAAAAAAATTTAACAATAAAAAAATATTTTCAATTATGTTTTACATATACATCATTGAACAGCAACTGAAAGTAATATAGTTACTTGACTTAGCTATACAATAGCACAATCTAAGGTCATGGAAAACGCAATAAAAATAAAATAAATAAAATGCATCGATTAGCCAAAATGTTGAATTTTCAATGCAGAAAATTGGTCAGCTGTGATTTGTTATGGGCAGGTCAAACTTGATCTAACTAATCAACCAACAGCAGGTATATCAACACTTTAAAAAATGTTACCAAAAATTATAAAAAGGTTAGAGATGGATATGCACTGATCAGTTGTCCCCAGGCAAAGTCAATTTCAAGGTATAATGTTGGCCAATTCAAATATTTAGAAA